GGGCCACATGAAAACAGTTTTTGGAGATCTGACAAAAAGGTAAAAGTCAGAATTCTGAGGGGACAGAAAACAAATTCTGAAAAAATGTGGAACTCTGAAAAAAGTCCACATTTTGAGAAATCAGAATTCTGAGTTTTATTACGGAAAGTCAGTAATCTGAGAATAAGTCAGAATCACATTCTGTCAGATCTCAAAATAAATTCACCATATATTCAACGCTATAAACCTACGGAGGAGGATTGGGGCCACATGAGAATAGTTTCTGGAGATCTGAAAAAAAAAGAGGGAAAAAAAGTCAAAAATCTGAGAAAAACGTCAGAATTTTGAGAAAATGTGGTTCTCTGAATTTTTTCAGAGAACCACATTTTCTCAAAATTCTGACGTTTTTCTCAGATCCACATTTTGAGAAATAAGAAATTCTGAGTCAAAAATCTGAGGAAAAGTCAGAATTGGAATAAGTTGGAATACTGTTAGAAAAAATTACGACAATCTCTTTCAATTCTGATTTTTTTTCTCAAAACTCAAAAAGTTATTCACTTTTTGTCAGATCTCAAAACATTACAAGTGCTACTCAACTGGCTTTAGATAAACCAGTCCTTTGTTAGTATATAGTGCTTTGTTAGAAATTGTATTGCTCTAAGTGGAGTCGAAAGAGATGAGTTTTCAGTCTGCGCCGGAAGATGTGTAAGCTTTCTGCTGTCCTGATGTCAATGGGGAGCCAGTAATTCACGTGGCCCTGATCCTCTTCCGTTTATACCTCTTTGTGATACAAACTAATTGTCTTTCTTTTCACTTCCTAAGCTTGAGATTGAGGGAACATCTGGAAGAAGAAACGTGTTCGACATCTTCCGGATATCGTATATGAGAAAACGTACTCTCATAATGGGCTACAACTGGTGTGTTTTTCTTTAATTGAGATAATTGATCGGACAGTGAATCAGTATGACTAATATTTATCAATGATATCTAATCGCCACACTGTTAATTGTTCACATTTGTCACATTAACCCTGTTTAAGTGATTGGGAACTTGAACAAAATGTCTTTCTTATTCTCCAACTGTACCAGGTTCGCAGCAATTCTTTTATACTACGGACTGATCCTGAATGTGGGCAGCTTTGGCCTCAATATCTACCTCACGCAGTTCATCTTTGGAGTCGTTCAATTTCCTTCACAGGCTACTTCTTACGCTCTGATTCAACGCATTGGAAGGAGGACAGGACTAGTGGGCTTCCTGTTCTTTGGGGGAGCTGCTTGCCTCATGGTCCTTGCCGTCCCAAAAGGTATATATTACATGAAAACATTTGATATAGACGTGTCATTGTTTTTCACTTTCATTTTGTGTTTCAATGTATGATTTCCCCATCAGATCTTCCTGCTGTGGTGACAACCATAGCAGTCATCGGGGCGTTTGCTGCTACCGCCTGTTGCAACATAGTCTATGTGTACACTACAGAATTATACCCAACTATTTTAAGGTAATGTCACTCTTTTTCAATTGCATTTAAAGCTACGGACACAGACTTTTCTTAATACGGGTCCTTAAAGGTAGGGTAGGTAAGTTTGAGAAACCGGCTCGAGATCGCTAGAATTTGAATTTCGTGCTTTTTACAGTACTACGGCTTCCACAGATGACATTTTTTTATGGATTTTTTGTCAAAGCACTTAAGATATTCATTGCTATCGGGATGTTAAGAGCATTCCATGGAATATAACAAAAAGTGTATCTCGAGCTGGTTTCTCAAACTTACCTACCCTACCTTTAATTTGTTGAAGTGTATAAAAACATTTAAACATACGAAATTCCTTTAACCTGTCAGTGTGCCATTTAGCTAGCAAACCTTAGCTATCTATCTATCAAACTTGCTAGCTAATGATACTTTACAAGGTAGCTTAAATTTGCTATCTATCTAACTAGTTAGCCAGCTTAAGTTAGCCACCTGTCTAACAAGCTAACTAACGAATGCTACCTATCTAGATAGTTATGCCTGAAAGCGCCATTTCAATCAGGAGAGAGACTTCATTTTTTGTTTAAAGAACATTTATTGACACATGCGCGCGCCATATGATAAATGTTAAAAGTCTTTGGCGATTAGACCCAGATCCTGAAATCGAATATCTAAAGGGGGAAATGCAGCTGTGAGCATATAGGGAACCCCCCTGGGTCTAGACACTGGTGGTGATGTTGAAGATCTGGATTTGATGAGGAGGTGTGATGATCTTTGGATTAGCTCTCCTGGCACTGGATATGATGGAAGGAGGTGGATGGGGAGGAGGCGGGCCGCAGCATGAACACCTGAAATCACAGCTGACTGCAGGAGAGAGCAGAACCATTTTAAAGTTTGGCTGCAGCACAATGATTGGCTGCTGGAGATTGAGGTGAAATGTAATAGGTTGAAGAGAACGCCCGTGATGAGCTGATTGTATGCAGCTGCGGAGTAAATGAATATATTATACCCAGTCTTCCTGAAAGAACTTGCGCTGAGCTTCATATAAACGCAGTCCATTTACTGTGCGTTCTTGCAGGCAGAATGGATTTGGTGTGAACTCGATGTGTGGTCGCGTGGCGGGGATCCTGGCTCCACTGGTGAGACTCCTGGACGTCTACCATCCCTCCATCCCCATGCTGATATACGGCATCATCCCCATCACTGCTGCTGGTCTCTGCTTGTTACTGCCTGAAACCCTCAATGTGGAACTCCAGGACATCACTGAGTCCGAGTGAGTGCAGTACACACTATGGCAAGCCCCTTTAGCTTTTATTCATTTCTGGAGGATATCTAAAAATCATTTTTTCAGATTCTTTGATATCCTCCAGAAATGAATAAAAGCTAAATCGGCTTGCCATAATACACAGCTTTGTTTGAAAAACAAATGTATTCGGTGTAAATAATTGTATATAACAATAATTTGTTCTGTTTTTCATTTTAGGAAACCATCAAATGGAGCTTTGGAGAACGCTGAAGTAATAATTCAAGAGAAAAAACTTTAATTTGTACTGTTGTTCTTCTTCCTTTATTATAGACAACTTTTCTACATGTATTTACATTTTTTTTCAACCTCTTTTTATCAGTGTTGTTGGCATAAAAGTGTTATATGAATAAAATGTAATTCACCAGAGCTTTGTTGAAAGTGTTGGAAAAAAATTATTGGGGCAACAATTTAGCTTCAGGGGAAACCTGAGATATTCACACAAAAATGACAACTTTATATAAATGAATAAAAAGCTAATAATTCATATTATTATTATTATTATTATTATCTGCACAGACATACAATTCCAATGCGTTTCGAATCTACATTTGCAACAAAAAAATAAGTAAATGTTTGGATCTTTCTGCATACCCAGGATTTTAATATCAAATCTGTTACATTTTGTATTTCTGATTGTCTAACCTATTTTTAATTTAATTTTCCAAAAAGTTAACTGTAATTTGTTGTGGTAATTCTAAACGAAACAAACGGTAAATGATCAAAACTGATTGATTAAACCATTGAAGCAATTAGGTGGGTTATGCATCAACACATTATCACGTATTATGAACACACACAGATTTAAACACTCGTTGGTGCCTCAAACGCATCGTCATGATTCTCCGTGTTCATCGTTAAATCAGCTGAGGAGAGAAACAGAACACACAGTTTTAAATGAAGGGATGCCACATTAATAACCATTTATGAACAACAAAGGGATATATGTGGTACTCACTTTGTTTGAGTCTCTATGCCTCCGACTCACTGGACACCGCGTCAGCAGAGTTTCTCAGAAGCCATCGGTTCTTGTGTTGAACGTGTCCGAAGCCTTCGTCGTAGTTTCCCTTTCTTCTGAACAGTTGTTGGTAGTGAAATATGCAGTAGAACTCCCCATGCAGTGGTGTGTAATTTTGCATGCTACAGTACAAATAAGCAAAATTGTTTAGTTAAAGTTATGTTTCACTGTTCTGCTGTACCTTAAACCCCGATCTAAACGAAGCTGATTGGTTTTTGCTCAATTTATGTGGTGAAGCAACATTAAAATGGTTAATCATCAGTTATATTTGTCCCTATTAATGTGACTATTAGTGTTTTTATTTTTAATTGAATAGCCATATCTTAAAGGGGACCTATCATGCAAAATGCACTTTTGTACGTCTTTTATACATGAATATGTGTCCCCGGTGTTCCAGGGAACTCACCAAGTGTCAGAAAACACAACCTTCTCTATTTTCCTCCATACCCAAATCTCTAAAAAAGGGGCTGCAACGGATCTGATAAAAACTGATCCAGATTTGAACACTGTCCTGACGTCAGGACGGTGGCGCTACGGCTATTGGGCCAACTCCACCAATCAGGAGGAGACAACCACGGCCATTGCCGTTCGAAAGCGCTGGAGACGCTGTAGTACATATGCCAGGCCTGTAGATGGTGCTGTTCTCACAGAATCAGCCCTTGCAAAAACAGAGCTAACATTTTTCAAATAGAGCAAAATGAGGCATGGCTAAAATGCATGATCTGTTTGGTATTTTGAAAAAAAAAAAGTATAAATATGCCTTATATACTGTAGGTATGGTCCTACACTATATTATTCAAATATAGCATGATAGGTCCCCTTTAAGGTAGCTTATCGTGATACAGTCTTACAAGTACAGTATAAGAAATAATATTTTTTACAGTTCAATAGTCTGCTATTCAGGCTTATGCCAAGTTTATCGATATTTCAATAACAATCAGTTTTGTAAATCATTAATAATTGTTGCAGTTGATTGATTTTTGTCGATTATGTCGGTATCTCACCTTAACTTTTTGTTGCACTGTTTACAACAGAAGCAAGTTTGGTGAAAAATGTATTTGTCTGCGGTAATTTTCTCCATCGGATAAACCGGCTTCGAACAGGCTGAACACATCTCTCGACAAGCCGGTTGAAACTGATGAAAGAAATGAGCTTGGTTTAAAAACAAAAATACTTATAATAGGTAATCAAAAAAAACACAACACAAAAGCATGAATGAAAACCAATGACACTTCTTTAATTTCAAATGCAAATCAAAAACAGTTTTAAGATTACAAGAGACCAACACAAATCTCAACCATCAATAGAAACAATGGTTTTATCACAAATACAAGTATGTACACAAGAACTTTGTCAGAAAACGTATGAAGAAACGCATTCAATGGGTAACAAACTTCACTTTTCTACGAATTATTTAAAGTTTTTAATTGATCGGCACCTAAACCTCTGGGTACTTTTACCTTACATGTGGATATTGTTCCTAGCTAACCAGTGACAACAGTGGGACATTGAAACCCAATTTCCAAATGGTTCAGTCCTCTCATAGTTGTTTGACGGTCTTTGAGCCCACGATACTTTTCCCCTCATGGTCAGTCTGCACCTCGAGGACACTCATCTCTCGTTTAGGGTTGCTAGACGATTGTTTTTTACCTCCTTTTCTGGGGTCCTTCTTCCTGTTTTGAGCGGGGCTGTTGCACGTCACGGTTTTAGTCGACCTGAATCTCTCCTCTGTCTTTGGACTGTTCTGACATTTCGGGCAGATCGTGGTCTCAGGTGGAAGCAACTCTGTTTTCTCTGTCTTTTTAGCAGCTGATTGGATAGAGATGAAGGCAGGAGAAGATGGAGGACTTGCTTGTTGTTTTGCAGACGCTCCTTCACCCTGACTAACTAGCAGATCTGAGTCTCCTTGTGCTGTCGTGCTAACCTGTGTCTGCAGTGGTTTTGTTCTGCTTGACTCGATGCTAATTTTGCTAATACCACCAGACGATGGGGACCCTTGATCTACCGCTAATGACTCTTTGAACAGGCGCGATAAACCAGCGATATCTGCGTCTGATTTCAAAGTAGAGACAGAATAAAGAGCCTTCTTAATCCTTTCCTCTATTTCCACAAGTCTTGCTAAAGTATGTTCTTTAAGAGTTGTGATCTCCTCACTGGCTCGCTCAAGATTTCCAAACACATGTGCCATTGAAGACTTGCTTTCGGTGTTGTTTTTCGTTAATGGCAGCTTTCCTTCTTTGTTTCCTTTTCTCTTTTTCTTTTGTTTCTTTTTGCCGGGGATGACGACCCACTCTGGTACGTCCTCGAACACTTTCCTCAGACAACTTACATCTACCTCGCTTGTGTCCTGTTCAATTTCTTCGACTCGACTGAGAATGCTCTGCAGTTCCTCCTGCTTTCGCAAGTTGTCAAAGATATCCATGGCTGCGGTCATATTCTCCGTCATGATCACATCCATGTGGACTGACAGACGCTGTCGTCGTTCGACCTCTGTCTCAGTTCGTCCTTTCTTCTCCCTCATCTCGACCTTACCTTCTTCTTTCTTTACTTTCTCCTTCTTGCTGTCAGCAGTTTGTTCGCAGGTGTTTGGCTCACTGCAGGATGAACCAGGTACAGTTGGTTCCTCAGCAACATGTGCAAGAATTGAGGTGTTATTGCCAGACTGTTGTTTTTTGTTGTCCACCTGGGCAATTTTAACTCTTTTTGGCTTTGCCGGAGCCTCCTTCCCTGAAGCTGCCTTCTTACCTTCAAATTTCTTACATGCTTCCTTAAAGTCTACATGGCTTTCATCTGTTTCATTCATATTCTCTTTGATTGGGGAATCCTTGGGGCTTTTCTCTTCGTCTGTGACGTTTATCTCCTGTTGTCGCCTAATGTCATTGTCAGTTTCCAAGATAACGACTGAACCTTGAACTTGATGCCTCACTTCACTTTCCTCAGACATCGGTATGGCTTCATCAAAAGGCTTTTTGCTTTGAGGATTCACTGAACCCGACTCTGCACAAACGTTAGCTTTGAACAGACCTTGCTTTTGTTCATCCTTACATGACAATGGTTGAGGAGCTGTTTCTTCTACTTTTACAGTAATAGTTTGGGTTGCCTCAGGATTGTTTGTATCAGTTGACTGAATCTCTCCTTGTTTCACTTTGAAATGCTCAGGTTTGGGTGGGATGGCTGGTTTTGGAGCCACAAGTATTGTATTGCTTTTCTCTGAGACATCACTTGTATCTGGTTTATCTTTGGGCTCTGCATGTGTTGATGTCCCCTGTTCTTTAGAGAGCTCTTGTCTCACTGGTGCTGGAGTTGGTTCAGGGTCAGTCACGGGGCAAAGCTCCTCCTTAGTGGGGATTTGAACAGACGCTGTATTCAAATGTTGTGATCTTTGAGGTTTGGACACATTTCTGTATATCATGGCGTCTCTGAAATCCCCCCTGCTGACATTGATGTTGGATTTCTGCAGGGAGTCCAAAGCTGCTTGAAGTTTACCGTGAAAAACAACTTCCTCTTCCTCCTGCTGAGCCTCGATTGTTTCTGGAATATGTCCAGGCTCCATAGCAGCTTGCAAGTGTTGTTTCTGGAAGACTTCTGCTTCTTTTTGACCCATTTTGCGGCATGTCTCAGTAGTTTCTTCTAAATAAATACTATCTTTATGGCATGTCTTTGTGTGAGGTATTTCTCCATCACCTGCTGTAATTGAGGTGGTTTCTTGATAGTGGAGTCTCTGTTTTGCTAGTGCTGAGTGATGCAAAGATTTGGCCTCGATTGTGGCCTGATGGAGGCTTTGCATTGCAGTTTGGAGCTCAGAAATCTCCTCGTTGTTATCTACCACCTCGACTAGTTCAGCCTGGTGGACCTGACCATCGTCCTGTGTCCCAAAATGTAGGTTTGATCCCTTTGGTGTAACCGTAGAGTTATATACCTCAGGTGTTTTGACACCCATCTCTGTAGAGGACTGGCTCTTTCCAAGACCTGTGACTGCACAAGAAATGGGGGCACGATTTTCCCATGCATTTGGTTTGGGCTGGATTGGTCTTTGATCTCCAGAGAACATGTTTTTAAGTCTCTTTATATCCACTGGGACCCATTCTGAAGCGCTCTCCTCTGCTTCATCACCTCTCTGTTCATGATGCAGATCCATTCCTTGTTCAGCCACATTTTGACTTGGAGGGAGTTCTTGTTCTTGCTCGGTTGGCTCCGCCTGAAGAGTTTTCAAATACTCCAAATCACCCTTTTCAATACAACTCTTGAACAATTTAACGTTCCCTTTTACTGTGATTTCAGGCCGCATTGATCCTTGGTCTTTGGGAGTTTCTAGAAGGCAGCTCTTGGTTGATGCAACAAAACCTTTTTTTAGTTCTTGATTGTCGTTTTTTCTCACATCTCCTCTTTCCTGCTCTGGTTCACAATGCTCTGCGCCTTTTGGAGGACTGTAACTCTTCAAATCGTCCACATCCAAATAATAGTAGAGGGAGTAGACTATGACTTTAGCCCCTCCGTCCGTATCCTCCTGGATTATCACTCCTTTCCGCAGAGAGTTATCTTGATTGAGAATATCCTCGACAAGCTGAGCCATGTTGGCGGTTTTAAACTCTGTGTCTTGGTTGGTACTGAAGTGATGATGCTGCACTGGTATCTTCACCAAGGTGGCCTCGATATTTCCTTTCCTACCCTCCTTCAGATACGTGATATGAGGCTTTAAGTTTGACCGTGGCAGCAACTGGAGTATGAAGTTTTGCGCACCACCTTCAGCCACCTCGTCGTATTTGATCTCAGGCCCATCTTCTAATAGAGTGAATTTAGCCTTTTTAGCTATCATCGTCTCATTGACCTCAATGATTGAGCCATCTGAATGTATGGCATTAACTTGATAAAGGGAATTCAGGGTTTCCTTGATGTTCTCAACCTGCCACTCAATTTCATCCTTGTTCTGATGCCTGATTTGGTCAAATGGCATTGATTCAAACAGGTGAGCTCTGTTTTTGACATTAGCTTTCACCTGGTCCTGAATTTCCCCACCGTCCCGCGCTGGGCTTTGGTTTTGTGATGAACGCAGAAATGAGTGTTCTCTTTCTATGTTTGTTGGGATGAATGGGTTGTTTTGGGAAAGAGCAGCACTGGTTTTGATGATTTTCTCTGGACCAGGGATGCTTCTAGTCTCATCACCAAAGGGTGTTTCACCAGTGGAAACCACATGGTCAATGCTTTGGCCAATGATAGGATCACAAGGACCTTGTTTGTTAGGCTGGTTTATCACATCAAGACTTTTGGTGTGTAGATTATCTTGTCTACGCATGTTAAACTCCTGTTTTGGGACTGCCCCTTTCTTATCTCCAGAAATATACACTTTTCCTTGGCAGTTATTTTTGGGAAATGGTGCAGATGTGTTCACAGACTGACTCTCAAATCTCCTCCTGGTAGCCTGAACATCTATTCTTACCATCTCCTCCTCACCCTCTCTGTTTGGATCATGACTAGGTCCAATTGTTTTGTCAGTACAAGACCTGTCTTCATGCTCCTGAACCACAGCTGATGATTTACTGACATCGCCTCGTTCCACTGTTCCCTCTGCTACGTGCTTCTTGGGGATGTAAGGAGATACTTTGTTGGTAAGGGCGCAGTTCTCAAATATCAAGCATCTTGACAGGACCTCTCCCTCGTATCCCGTTTCACCATCTGTCTCTAAACTCAAAACCTCAGCAAGCTCCTCGTCCACCACTCCATCCAGCGTCTTCAGCTCGGGGTGAGTGTGCTTCAGGAGCCTTTTCAGCTCGCATTTCGCCCGCTGTTGGTGTAGCTTTTCTTTAGAGAGTTGCAATGACATGGACTGTGTTAACTTGGCCCCAGAGACGTCTTCTGGTCCTTGCTGATGTCTCGCTGAAGGAAGCGAAGGGATGTCGTCTTTGCTTTTTTCGGAGTCCTCGGACATCTTAGAAGAACAGAGTAAAGGTCTCATCATTGAGTCCTTTGTGACAGATATGAGCCATCCAGTAAAATAAATTATGCTCCAGGGTGTGCAGACATGCATTCAATGGTACCTCACTCATGCCAGTTGATATGCTTTCCACATGCCAGGTGTCAGTGGGTTAGCCGAACTCCAGAGCAACCAGCAAATGCAACCACATGATTAATACAATAATGTTGAGTTTATGGCATCCAATATTTATTTTTAAGGGAATATTCATATCTCGGGAAAAGCTTTAATGTGTTTTTGCAACAAATGAAAATACATTGCACACCATTATGCAAAATGTCCGGTCAAATTCCAGCTTACCTTGGTTCGCTGGACTCTTTTCCCAGACTGAGATGACTTATCTTGTTCCTTGAAGGAAACAGTAATAAGTTCAAGTCAGGTTACCTTCACATAAGGTTTGTTAACAGATCAGTAATCATTGTATGACATATTTTAGCGTGACACCGTTTAGTGTGTTATATGACACCTGTAAAAGATAACGAACTGCAGTGTCTACAGAAGACAGATCTGCTGAGGGAGGTGCGCTCTCTGCAGTTAAGTTAATGGGTTATCATGAAACAAAAACATTCATATCTTTTCTGGAACCTATAATTAAAAATGTTAAAATGTAACTTCTCCTTTGCATGCTTCTTAATGCTCTTAAACATTTAGCTTAAGCTCAAAGACAAGTGAAAAGACAAGGAGTAGGCGGATGTTTACCGGTTTTGAAAGGCTGCGTGTTGAATCCTGAGGTACCACCTTCGACAGGTAGAGGGCAGACATGGCTTTGACCGAGACACACTTGCTTTGGATTACAGAGCTGTCTCTGAAATCTGCAATGGACCTCCTCTTTTCATCTGCAGAGACATCAGATCAACCTTTAACTATCATTACCATTTCTTGTCTTGCCATTGGACATGTAGTATTAGTAGTATTTCAATCAGCCAGAGTACAATGTGAAATAGGGAATATCTTGTTTTTCCACAATCTTATCAAAGGTTCAATAAGTATTTGCTTTATACAGATGTGCCGTCCAAAATCTTTACGTGGTATTTAGGTTAAAGGTAAAAGGAGTTGTACATTTGTCTCACTTTGTTTACTGGTTAATTTTAGCTTTTTAGGAGGCAGCTGTGTCAAAGTATTTCCAGAGAGGGTCACAACATCATGTGACTTTTTCTGACATTGAAACAGAAATTCAACAAGTTACTCATTTTAAAAACACATACAGATGACATACATCCATGTCAGCTAACTGTGTGTTATTGATAGTAGTTTTTAAAGGTGACTAGTTATAACATTTAAAGCTGATATTGAACAGCTGCCATGTGTTGGAGCTATATATGTCCCACTGGTGGTGGAGAAGGACAGATACCTGACTCCACTGACACAAATACTGAGAGTTACACAGACAGGCGAGTCACTACAGCTACACATGACTCAGCGTTAAATAGTCAAAGTGAAAAATTGTGTCGAAGTTCAGATCGTAAATCCATAAAAAGCTGCGGAACACATGAATAAAGCAAAAACGCTGTAAAATTAGAATAAAGACAACATTTAGGTCAAATTCTAGCAATATTAAAGTCTAAACACCTTTATGTTCTACGATTTTAACGTTTTTAATATATATAAATACGTTTTTTTTAGTATGCTTATTTCAAGAGCCTCTAAAAGGACATATTACATGCTAGTGGAATTATTTCTACTCATCAAACACAGAGATGTTTCTATAGTCTTTACCATAGATGTCATTTACAGTGGAGAAATGACCCTGCAACTTTTTGAAATTGTACTTCTTAAAGCCTCAAACTAAAATGTTCAGAAAAACGATAAATGAAATGTTGATGTCCGAAGCGAAAAATGCCTTAAAAAAAAAGCCCCATACTTCCAAAAAATGTGCATGCACTGATCAGCAACTGAACACATTCTTGATATAGCTTCTTCCTGTAAATCTCTGACATCAATCCTGATACCAAGTCCCCTCCAACACACATTGACGCACTTTGTTTCCACATTTAATCACAAATCAAATCCGTACTCACAGAAAACGAACAGTCCCTTATGTCCTGCCTGTCGTCTTATTCCCTTTCAGTCTTTGTGAATCTGTGAGGTCTGATTTCCTCTCGCTGTGTGTCTTCTAACTCTCAGTGTCTCCCTCTCTCCTCCCAGTAACAGCTGACCCTTCACCCTCCGTCACTTATTCATGACTTGCTGTCTATTTCTGTCCTGTAGTGAAGTGGTCTGCTGTGCCCACACCAGGTTGAGTCAATCACTGCGTCCTGCACTTCTCTCCCTCTCAGTTTCACCTTCCTTTCATTCCCACAGCCTCGACCTGAGTCACGGGCCTCGAAGGGCGAAAGGCGGCTTTCCAGGGAATCTTTCAGTTGCAAACGATTGATCAAGTCTGAAATGTGACTTGCATCACAGCAGCTCCTTGTGTAACATCAACATAGACACATATCCAGACACAATACATGAAAAACAAACAGCACAATTTACTGTGAGGAGTGACTGATGCGTGCTTCAGTCTGACTTTGCACGACGCTGAATTAGGCTATTCTGTTGTTGTGTACATATTGAAAACTAAACATCTTTAGGCAATTCTTTATTTTAAGTGTCAGAAATTCACTTTTTCCATTTCCTTGGATGCTAAATGAAGATCTATATGTGTTCGTTGGTGTCAATTAAACATGATTTTTCTCAAAAAGCAGCTGTACGTGTTGGTTAATTATTCATTTGTATCTGAAGCTTAAGGGAGTGATGCCAGTTTCCTTACAACCTCTTCTTATCAACTGGTCTTTGTGTTTATATGGTCTTTATATCTGGGCTTTTATAATGTCGTTTTTGCTGTGTTTTTCAGCCAAACCATAGAAAGTTAGATTAAATTCGATTCAGTGACCTTAAAAATGCTTTCCTGTGCAGTAGGCTGAAGTAAACGATGCTCAGGTTCATCTCACAGCACACTTTATTGAACGTTGTCTGGTACTCACCATCCTGAGAGGCTGCAATTCTCTCAAAATCTATCCCCCCGATTGATTTCCTCCTCTCCGCCCGGGTCCGAGTCACCACCTAGAGACAGAAAAATTAACTCTCATTGCAAATAAGCAGCCTGTCTGTGTGACAATTATTTTTCTTAAGGGGTGTCATGATGGCCCCCCCACTGACACTTTGGTACTGTATGCACCACGACATCAAGTCAAATTCCTCGTACGTGTCAACCTACCTGGTAATAAACCTGTTTCTGATTCTGATAATAACAAAAGGCTGATGTTTGCATTTACCTGTCGAGTCACATGATCAGTTTTAGCATCCTTTCTTGGAGCAGGTTCCTCTCCTTCTTCCCCCTCTCCGTTCACCATGGGCTTGATGTCTGCAGCCTTGTTAGAGGATGTGAGACTCGCTGCTCTGGGACTCCTCACCTTGTTCTGAGTGGCTCCCTTGGACTCAAACAGAGCCTTCAGGGCCCCGATGGAGCCGGCGCTGCTCTGGAGGTTCCCCACTGACTTACTGCGGGTCAAATTGGATTTGTCTCCTCGTGACAGCTCCCTCGCGTCATTCCTCCTCATCAGAGAATCTAGGTGAGTCTCGTTACGCTTCAGAATAGACGGTTTGATCTGGCGGTGATACAAAAAAACATTCTTTCATGCAGCTGTGTTTATTATTTTTTAAAGGTCTCCTATTATACTGTTTTTCATCAATATATTACAGGTCTCAGATATATACAGAGCCTGTCTCTGATTGGCTGAAACACCAAACAGATCATGGCAGCATCCCATAATCCCCTCTGTTTCAGCCCTGTTTCCAAAGTGCTGATTCTCTGTCTGTTACTTTAGATGAAAATAAGGAGCCCCTCCCCACGCCCCTCTGAGAGAGATTTGGTTACAAAGAACTCAATGGTGCTCTAGGAGGAGATTCAGGTAATAAGGTGGGGGGGGTTACCTTGGTTGCTGATTGGCTAATGGTTACACAAGACAAAACATCGTTATGACATCATAAAGTGGCCAAAATCTGATCAGCTCATTTTCAGACAGGTTTTTTATAGAAATGGATCAGGACAAAAAGAGAGAGAATCTTTGTTCCTGAAACTTTCAGAGTCTCTTTCCACAGAGGGGACACATGTTGATGAAGAAGAGACATGAAGAAGAGGGGACACATGTTGATGTAGAGGAGACATGAAGAAGAGGGGACACATGTTGATGTAGAAGAGACATGAAGAAGAGGGGACACATGTTGATGTAGAAGAGACATGAAGAAGAGGGGACACATGTTGATGTAGAAGAGACATGAAGAAGAGGGGACACATGTTGATGTAGAAGAGACATGAAGAAGAGGGGACACATGTTGATGTAGAAGAGACATGAAGAAGAGGGGACACATGTTGATGTAGAAGAGACATGAAGAAGAGGGGACACATGTTGATGTAGAAGAGACATGAAGAAGAGGGGACACATGTTGATGTAGAAAAGACATGAAAAGGTGGATTTTGCATAATAGGTGACCTTTAAATATGATGTTGCATTGTGTTTGAGTTACCTCTTTGAGCACCGTTTTTGGCTTTGCTTCATCATTATTCACTGCAGTTTCTGGATTGGATGCACTTACTTCCACGGTAGTTTGATATCTATATTTAAAAGACATTAGAGAGAACAGGGATTGTAACCTTTGTAGACCATTTACATGCACACAAACCTATCTAACATAACAGGGCCCCTTTAAGATACATGTAGAAGTAAGTAGAGGGTGTGTTTATTGGGCACAGATGTAGAAGAGTGATGTTTCTTCACCTGGACACTAGCTGGGACACAGATGTTATCCTCTCCCTCAGCCTCCCCTCTGTCCAGGTGGGCTTGTCACATGACGAGGGGATGCTCCTCAGTGATTGGGTGCGCCGCAGGTTGCTCTTCCAGTCCATGACAAATCACGTCACAGCAGCACTTAGTTTGCAAACAGCTTCATCACCTACTGTAATATGAGAGACAGATTGTATTCAAACTACTCCATTACAATTACCTGTAAAAAAAAGAGTAACCTAATCTGAGTATCAAAGAATTCAAGTAATGCAACCTGATTACTTTGGCTACTTTCCTCATCAAATGCAATGCAAATAAATACAGGATTAAATAAAGATCAATAAGATGTTTGACCTAATACAATTTAAAGCCCGGCAATAGATCTGTTTTTACCTTTTTAACACCTTTGAACGTCAATAATGCATATCAGCAATGAATAAGTTTGTTGCACTGTTCAAAGATTTTAAAGATGTCATTCAATCAAAACAGCTTTGCAAATGAGTCAACTAAATCGTAAGATAAAATACGTATGTTTTGGGTCTATACAAAGAAGATTTAGAGTAGATTTGTTACCTTACAGCCAGCCGTCAGTCGGTGTCTGCTCTCTGTGAAGATTAGAAACTCTTCCGCGATCATCACAAGACCTGCACACGACGCGAAGCATTTCAGAGCAAAGTCCTTTTTCTTCCTCATTACCACAGACTGTGTAAAATGATCTTTGAGAAGGACTACAGTATAGCAGGATATACACCCTCAAAGCAATCAGGAATACACACTGTGCATCTGCTGCTTTCATCTCGGGTTACAGAAGCTGGTTTGCACAACTCAAAATAGTTGTATTCAACATTTTAATCTGTATTTAGCACATTTTGTCCTGAGTTTTTAGGAGATTCCTCGATGTTTGATATCAGGTCCAACCCCCAAAAGCTCAGATGCAATAATTTGATCTTTAAGCAGCAAGACATCATCCATTAAGTTGAAATAAAATGTACTTCATTCATTTTGAGGGGTGTCATTACAGCAGCAAAGAGACAATAAAACAACAAATATGATAATATGCAGCTATTTTTGCTTTGTCAGCATTTTGTGTGGGCTGGGTTTTGACGGTCACTGATTAACACAGACTCTCAGGTTACAGATTTACAGTGCAATACAGTGACATGTCAGCATTTTAAATGTACAAGTCGAGCAATCCACAAAAGACGTGTGGGAGAGAAACTCCCTCTGGAGGAAACTGGAGGATTTTAGCCTTTGCAGACCATTTACATGCACAAAAACCAACACTACAGGAGAGGGAGAATGTGTGTGTGTGTGTTTTAGTGCGAGTAGAGGAGAGGAGGCTGCGAGTAGAGGAGAGGAGGCTGCGAGTGGAGGAGAGGAGGCTGTGAGTTGAGGAGAGGAGGCTGCGAGTAGAGGAGAGGATGCCACAGTTGGTGTTGGAGCTGCACTTGTAGAAGGCTCTGGTGGTGGGCGGTCTGTGATTTGGGAAAAGTCGATGTCACTGAAAATATGTCTATTAAAACGCCAAATTCCAGTGCACGCGAACCCTGCCTGGATATTTGATGGCGTTGCAGCCAGAGGAAGGGCACTCTTCACAATGGCCGGCAGATCATAAATGGTCATTGTCAGCTCCGATCCCCGATCACGTGATCGGATCGGGACATCTCTATCCCAGACCCATTTGCTGTGCCAATACAGCCAGGAGGGCCATTGCTGGTGAAGAAGGGCTGAAACTTCTTCCGGGGGAATATCATCATTGGAGGGATGGAATTCCCCAATGCATTTACAGCACATGCAAGTGTGATGAGAGTGCCCCGCTCACACTGCTGACTTGTTTGGTCCCTTTTCTGGCCACAATTTTCCCAGGGTTTTGGACAGTTGTTACTCCGGTTTCGTCCATATTCCAAATGTCCTGTGTGACAAAACCATGCTTCGTCAGGACAGCAGACAGGTTGTCAAAAAACTTGTTGACATTTGATCGGTTAAAGCTTGTAGCCTGTGATAGACTGGTAGCCTGAGGTCTGCGTATGGAAAGGGTAGGGTGCCGCTTCGAAAATGTTGTGAGCCAGTCAGCTCCGGCCATCTCTTTCTCTGCCCAGGTTTGAGGGAAGTTGCATTTGTAGTTCTTTGCCAATTCATAGGCAAACTTCCGCACCTAAAATGAATATATATTGGAAAATATTTCACTTTTCTGTTTTTCTGATCCCTTATTTTTCTTTTGTTCAGTATAGATAGCCTATTCTACCTTAATTATGTAGACCTACCTCCTTTGAGCTGAGACCATAGTATAAATCAGCTGCCTCCATCAGGTAGTCTCTCAAAAGCATCTCTTGCTCTGTTGAGAACACCTTCTTGGGTGTCCAGTAGCCTACTCTTGCCTGATTGCTAGCTTGACCCATATTTAGCTAGTTATAATTTTAGCTTACAAAACAGTGATTCTAATAATACTAGTTTGGATTCCTAGACATTTGACCTCAAGACAGTATCCAAAAAATACATCATATAATTGTTGTCAATATTTTACCTCAGAAACAAACTTTTGCTGATATCTTTTGCGAAAGATTTAAACGTGGCTCCTTTTTTTCACAGCGATCTTTCCATCTAACTGCGCCTGTGCAGAGTGAGTTTCACCACTCTAGCTTGTTTGTGATTGGAGATATTGAAGGCGTTACAAGTTACAACTGTCCCTGGTCTCCCTACTATAAAAACAAAGTCTTGTAAAAAAAGGTTACAATGTTTATGTTATTTAAAAGGGTTAAAAACAGTCCTGTAAAAGAGGTGAAACTCGTTGTACAAGTATAAGCATACTTTCCTTCAAAATTGTTAATCCATGTTAAATCTGTTTTTTGGAGAGATTACGCTGGTGATTGATGACTCATGCCTGCAGAGGGCACGAGGCCTGACAGAGAGAAAGCATCATGTCCGAGCGTCTTCATTGATATCTCTCCTTTTCAGGTAGGAAACGTAGTATTTATGTTCTCGAACTTTGAAATAAGTTTGCAAAAACGTTTGTTTGTATTTGTATTAACATGCTGACTGAATGTCAAGTGTTGTGTATTTAGCTTTTATGATTATTAATTGCTCTACATTGCTAAGCAGTTAGCTAAACTCCGTTTCCTCAGTGGCAGGCACGGAGCGGCACGTGACCAGTTTAGGTTCAACACATAGCGTGCATTTTGTAATTTAAATTTGAATAATTCTCTGTTAAAACAGCCATTATATGTGTTTAGCTCAGTTTACAGAGTATGGTATATATTAAGTGCATATATTGTTAATGTTGATGTGTGTGTAAATAATGGTGTGTTTATTTCGTAAGTAACTGTATAGAATAAGTTCCAATGTTTCAATCTTTATATATACAGTCTATGGTTTCAACAGTTCGTATACGCTAAATAAACAAGACACAATTAATACAAAAAGCTTGTTAAGGGCAGAGCAATGTGTTCAATTGGATTGTTTAATTAATTAAAATGAACACTAGACTAGATTTACATGATACAAGGATTAAGTTGCTTACTCTTGCAGCCTTATTCATGATAGCACTACAGAGACTACACTTACTGAGAGTTCAAGGACACTCCAGAGTGGATTCAACATCAGTTTCATGTGTGTGCTTTTGATGAATAACGTGTATTTGTTAAGTATAGCACTTTACTAATAAAACACAGCTACCAGAAATAATGAGTAAATCTGGCCCGCTTTATTAGAAGCACCACAAGAAAGAGAAGATGTGTAATGTCATGGTTAGTGCGACCCTCTTTCAAGTGAGTGAACGCTTCATTAAGAACAGCCGGGAAACACCAGTGAAATGAAACCATTATTTTTTACTGCTTCTTTAAAAGGCCTTAAATTAGATTCATCTGTCTGGTAGTCGCAGAGGGGAGGAAGTCCGTCTCCACCCAGGAAGAGCTGCTGACCCTCGGGGATCAGGTGACATCGGGAGGAAGTGAGTGTTCCCCTCGTGCATCACCTCAGAAATGTGTTCCCTGCAGCAGCTCCTTTACAGGGTAACGTATAAAATGCATAATTACACATTACTCATCATGGCATGTCGCTTTATGAGGCTTTAATTACAGTTGGAGGTTTGTACAAGAGGTGGATGAAGTGCTCAGATGTTATATGTAAGTAAAAGTAGTAATACCGCAGTGTAGAAATACTCTAAAAGTCCTGCAAGCATTAGCAACAAAATATACTTCTGTACTTATTATCCAAGGTGTCCATTTTCGGAATAATATATATTATATCATTGGTTTAAAATTAGTGTTGCACTTTCATCTTAATTTTGCAGCTGTTAAAGGATAAGAAAACATTAAAACTGCCAGTTATCTTCATCCATTATAGCACATCATTGTTAATTGAATTTATATTAATAATATAAACCTGCAAAAGGAACTAATGTTGTCAAATGTATGTAAAAAAGTACATTATTTGCAGCCAAAATATACTAGAGTCAAAGTATAAATTAGCGTAAAATGGAAATACTCAAGGAAAGGTAATGTACCTCAAAATGTACTTAGGTACAGTACTTGATTAAATGTACTTTCCACCACTGGTTTGTACTGCATACATGTAGTAAAATCACAGATCATAAATAAATATGTGTATGTGATATAGGGGATTTAGCAAACAATGCCATCTTGTGGTGAAATGTACGTACTACAGTAACCCTTAGAGCAGTGGTTCTCAACTGGTCAGGCCTCGGGACCCACTTTTTACTTGGTCAATACATCGCGACCCAACATTTTGAAGCACTCAAATCTATTCAACAAAAAATCGTGCTGTAATATATACGCTTTTGAGCATACAATATTAATGAAAGTGAAGTACAGTGCATATATCCCTTATATCCCTTCACAGAACTAAAGTATGCTTTTAAAAAAGGTTTAATGAGATGATGGAATCAAAGCTGAACTATATAAAAAGGCACACATGCTGAAACCCAACCCCAGCAGGGGGGTCTGGGGGGATTCTCCCCCAGGAGATTTTTAGAAATACTAACATAAACTACGCATTCTGGTACACTCTGAGAAGAAAATAAATAAATCTATTACTACCCGACATATTAATAATATTTTATGCTATTGTTTGTTTTTCACTTTGTTCTGACATCTTGCTGTGAGAAGAGTAAAGAGGAGATAGTCTGTGTGACTTACTTTAAATTGTGGGTAAGGGTAGATAGCTCCCATTGTTCTGTGACCTCTCAGTCATCAAACCGGGGGTCATATTTCATTATGTGTTCATTTTTATCTGAAGTTGTACCCATGGATGTATAAAGAAGAGTTCTACCGCAAAGTTATTCTCCGTGGGGACTTCCGGCAACAATCTTGATTCTGATTGGTCAGAAGACCCGAAAAAACATCAGCAAAGATATTTTATTGAGAAGACGATCGTGACAGAAGTTTTCAAAACCGTTTATGGTCTCCGGTACTTCCAGTCCAACGCCGACTGCATGCACAGCGTTAGAAAATCGGGCCTTAAAAATAAAAGTTTGAATTTTCCCCCCAAAAAAAAAAAAAAAAAAAAATTTCAATTTTTTTTTTTCACTCACACATCCGCGACCCACTCGAAACGGGTCCGCGACCCACTTTTGGGTCGCGACCCACCAGTTGAGAACCACTGCCTTAGAGGACTATATGAATCATTGCAGTGACT